GGGGGGGGTGATGTTTGATAAAAACACTGAGCTGTGGCAAGATTGGGCAGTGATGATTGTTGTGAGCTGGCCGTAGATACTAGCCCCAAGCCTGAACCTGTGTCTGTTGCCCGCAGGGAGGCTCCTGTGGATGCTGCTGACAGCTCTTTGAAGGATGGCTTTGGCCAGAGACCAGTCCCCATTCTGCATCCTCCATGACTCATGCTAGCTGCATACTTTGGTAGTATGAGCACTTGCTATGAGATGAAATGAAAGAAGCACTTCTTAGGAGTGGGAGCTCCTAGGTACTGAATCTACACGTGAGAAGTATAGTGTTCTACACAGCTCATAGAGACACCTCCCCCCTTTTTTTCTTAGTTTAGGTGAAATTTACATAACGTGAATCATTTTGAAGAGAACAGTCAGTGGCATTTAATAAAATCGCAAGCCGTGCAACCACTAGCTCTGTCTACTTCCCAAACATTTTCATCACTCCAAAAAAAACAAAAACCCTTACAGGTACTCTGTCCTTTCTTCTTCCCCTTGCCCCTGGCAACTACTCATCTGCTTTCTGCCTCTGTGGATTTAACTAGCCTAGGTTTTTCATATAAATGGAATCATGCAATGTGTGACCTTTTGTGTTTGGCTTTTTTTTTTTTTTTTCACTTAGCATATTGTTTTTGAGGTTCATCCATATGGAAGCATATATCAGTAGGTCATAGTCTTAATGACCACGTCAAATCCCCAAGACTAATCTCTTCCCATCTCCTCCCCTCTCCCCCACCCCATGATGAGTGAGTCTCCCTGCTCACTTACATTTAGTCCCAGGTCCTGTCTGAAGGCAGGGGAATGGACCACACCAGAGACACCTAAGGCCTTTAAAAATACCGATTCTCAGACTCCCTTTAGAGAGCTTCTGAATCAGTAGGTTTGGGATGGGATCTCACAGGTCCTTCTGATCCTGGATCAGGTGACTTTTGGGTTTTTTTAAACCACCTGCCTGTGAGCCTGGCAGAGGTCTGATGTGTCTCCCAGATGCTGCCTGTCCTTCACGATGTGGTTTCTGCTCAGGGATTCCTGTGGCATGCGATTTTTCTCCCTTTGCCTTCTAAGGGGAGGCACTTGGCCCTTCCTGCTGCCTCTACAGCTCCAGTTAATTATGTATCATTTATCAGGCTCCAGCTCTGCCCTGTGAGCCAGAGATGGGAGAGGGAAGGTTGTTCACGCCCTGGGGTTGTGCTTATAACTGACTGCACTTCAAGGTTATGTGTCTGGAAAAGCCACACTCCCACCCCTCCCACCCCTTCACAGGCCAGTGTCTTCTGGGTCAGGGTGTGGGACCTGAGTGGGAGAGGCTGGCATGAGATCTGGAAGCCTGCAGCTACCTTGAGGGCTGGTGATGGGGAGGACTGGCGGAGGAGGTCCCTGGGAGAGCAAAGGACCTAAACAAACTGGAAACCACCCCTTAACAAAAAAGATAGATCTGTCCCAGCCATGGGACCGATGGGTTGTTCTTAATGGCTGGGGTCTGCCTAGACACCTGGTTTCTTGGTCACATTCTATGGAGAGTTGGCCGGAGAAACCTGCCTTGGGGACTTCCTCCTGCTTTTCCCTGTGGGGTGGGGATGGAGAGGAGGAAGGCGAGGCCAGAAAATAGACTGCACGCTTGGCATCGATACGAATTTTGGCCTGCTAGCCTACCTCTGGGCTCCCTTGTCCTCTATGCTCAAGGATTCCTGGGTCTGATCCTGTTCATGTGCTTCGGGTGGGGGCTGGGCACCTAGGCTGCCTTGGGGATTAGCCATGACTCACCAGGGATTTATTCTCATGACCAGGATGAGCCTGCCATCTTGCCAAGCCATTGCTTGATAGGGATTTTTTTCCTCCCCCTCTACTGGGCTGCCCTTTTAGTCTGCTTTTAGGAATAAAGGGACATCTCTTAGAAAAGCCTTTTTAAAATAATAGGTATTTTGCCAACCTTTCCTTCAGGATGCTTTCTTTAAAGGACCATCCTTGGATATTTTGATGCTTGTCCTTTGTACCCATCTCAGCCTTTACCCCTTAGGATGGTTGAGGGGATCTTATAAATCTCACGTCCTCTGTGCAAGTTGTTTTCCCCACCCTGATCCCTGCAAGCTTTGTAACCTGCTCAGGGAATCACCTGATGGTTACCTGACGGAGGGAGCACTTTCCCAGTTTCTTTGGGGATACCCAGGTTGAATACGGAAGGATCTTTTTATTGCAGACCCCTGATTTGGGTGATTTGGGGTAGGTTCCTAGTCCTTTATTGATTGTATTGACATTTTCAGTAGTTCTCTATTTATTCCTCCTTTGTTCTAAAGGTGAGGACAGAAGACTTTAGCCTGTATTTCCAGGGTGCCTCTGTTGGTGGGGTTTTCATTCACAGAAGCTTCCAGAATCTTCCCAGGAGAGTGGGAAAGGTGGGTGGAAAGCTTCAGTGGCTGAGGATATTTCCTTAGCTGCTTTCTGCTTATAGCATCCTGGGTTAAATAATTTATTTCTATTTTTTATTTGTGCTTCTCTGTGAATGCTTCCCTGGATGTATCTACTGGGAATGAGAAGTGGTTTTGGAATGATATATTTTCTTTAAAAAATACCAAGGGTCTTTTTCTTGAAAAGGTCTCATTTCAAATGTTTTTTCAAAAGAGTTTAGATTCTGGACCAAATTAGATGCAGGTGCTTAAAACCCAAAGCAAGTTGTTATGGATTAGCTGCTTGCTGGATTCCATTGCCAAGTTTGTAGCCCAGGTGTTTCTTTTCTCCCTTGTGACATCTGAGAGCACCCCAAGGAGTGGGTGGGGAAAGTTAGGGTGTGGCGGGGGAAGGGAAGGGAAGGAAAAAGAACGGGGAGCTGGGGCTGAGGAGGGTTTCTGCTGAAGAGCCAGGATAACATAGCTCCAAGGGCAGGTCTGCCCAGACTTGAACTTTCACGATTAGTCCAAAAATTGGTGGTGGGGCATGTGGGGTGAACTGCCCAAGCTGAACTCTGTAGAGGCACTTTTGCATCCCTGAAGCTTGCCTTCCTTCCCAGTGTGCCTGAGACAGCCAGGGCGACTGGTGGAGTAGGCTCATCTCAGACATTGCTTGGCAAGAGAGACAAGATGACCCATTCCCTGAATCTGGGGCTCTGTCCTGCTTCTGAGTGTCACACCTGTGACCAGAGGTTTTGTTAGAGCCTCGTCAGTTCACCATACACTCAGATTGGGTGAAATGTGTAGCTCATGTGTTCTGGATCCCAGACCTTGAACTGGTGTCTGTCAGTGGATGGTGTTCAGGGTGACATGGCCATAGAGAGAACAGTGAAGAAGACAGGCAAAAGCAAAACTGATCTGAGAGACTGCCCTTCATTCTGAGGTTATCTCCTTCCTCAGTTTTAATAGATGAACCCTGAAAGCTCAGTGGTGTAAATACAACTCCCCATTCTCAGAAGTTCAAGGTGTTACTCATCAGTGGAGGGCCTTCCCTTCAGGAACCTGGGATCCTTCTCTCCTGGAGTTCTGTTCTCCTCACTGACACTGGGGGTCCTCTGGAGTGCAGCCTGGGGATGGGGAAAGAAAGCAGAACAGGACTGAGTGTGGTCAGTGCTCTAATGGCTCTCCCAGTCCATCACTTGGAACTTGTCCCAAGACCATACCTTGATACCTTGCAGCCTGGGCAAGGGTCTTCGGTGTCCTCAGGAAGCAGAGGAAGTGAATTGAGAGAGTAGCTAGTCACATCGTGGCACGTGGCTGTTTTTGTTAACGTTCTTACCTTACAAAGTACAAGTTGCCTTCCAGTCCTCTTTTGGCCTTCATAATCTATTTTTATTTTACTGGCTTATAAAATCAAAAGTCTGGAAACTACTGTTAGCAATAATCCAAAGGTCATTTCTGTTGAGATCTGGAAAACATTTCCTTATTTGAGACACTTCAAAAATCGTTGTAAAGAAACGATACAGGAAAGATTGCCTCTCTTTTCTCATTATGAGCTGAAATTGAATAATAATGCTCTGAGAACAAGGAAACACTTGCGTGAGCAGAAGTTCCAAAAGCATGTGGTTCTTCTGGCCTGTGAATTTTTAAAAATACATTTTTAGTTTTAATTGCTACATAATTTTTCATATTCTTGGGTTACAATTCGATATTTCAATAAATGTATAATGAAGTATATCCATTATCTCAAAAGCTTATCATTTCTTTGTGTTGGGACATCCAAAGTCTTCTCTCTCTCTCTCTCTCTCTCTCTTTTTGTGTTAGTGGGGTTTGAACTCAGGGCCTAGTACTTGCTACTCAGACACACTCTACCATTTGAGCCATGCCCCCAGTCTAGCTTTTTTGCCCATGGCTGGCCTTAACTGTGATCCTCCCTTGGAGTAAGAATTACAGGTATGGACCACCAGTCTGGTTTGTTTTGCTAACTTTTTGGGTGGGCTGGCCTCACACTGTCCTCCTGATCTTCACCTTCCAAGTATCTTAGGTTATAGGTGTGAGCCACTCAACTGTGTGAGCTCACACATTGCCTGTGTGAGCAGGCAATGTTCTCTATTTTGAAATACACATTTAATTGTTGTCCACCGTAGTTATCCCACTGTTCTGTAAGAACTTTTGAAGTTGTTCCTTCTATCAAGCTGCTCACCTGTATTAATTAACTGCCCTCTCTCTAGCCTGCTCTTTCTATCCACACCTTTGGTGATTTTTTTTTTTTTAATGGTTTATAGTCTTAGAAATGCATATCACATGTGTGGAGTAAGAATTAGTCACTGGAGACTGATTCACACAGAATGAAAGTGAAGAAATAAAAGACTTGCTTATGCTAGTGAGATCCTGAGAAGATTTTCTGTAGTCCACTTATATCCAAAACGTAGGAACTCGCCTGTGTTAGCATGGCAGGGAGAATAGGCCTAGGCCATCCTGGTCCCAGGCTCCATGTCTCAGAGTATCATCATTGCTGAGTGAGTCTTGATGTTACATGTGTGTGATTGTCATTCACTATGGTCCTGACTTCTTGTTGGTCTCTTTCAGGTCAGCCTGAATGATTCCCACAATCAAATGGTAGTGCACTGGGCCGGAGAGAAAAGCAACGTGATCGTCGCCTTGGCCAGGGACAGCCTGGCTTTAGCGAGGCCCAAGAGCAGTGATGTAAGTATTTGTGTTGCTCTGGGCACTCCTTGGGTACTGTCAACATGCTCTATGTGATCCTCTGGGATTACCATGCCAATTAGAGAATGGAGGGAATTAATTCTGTGACAGGGAAGTGAATCTGGGAAATAATATGTTTATCCCTTGTTTACTGAGTGCAGGATGGAGTGGTCAGTGTTTGAGCAGGTGCGTGCAGCCTGTGAGTACTTTTGTGAAGTGATAAGTAGCCTGGACTGTTGTATCTGCTCAGCAAAGTGCCAGGAACTGGGCTGGATGGAAGCTGATAGGTCTTTTCCAGGTGCTGATGTCTTCTAACCCATCATGGTTGGGTGGGCTGTTGACGTGGGTTCTCTCATAGTCTTCATTTCTACAGTTGGTCATGATTATGATTATGATTAATAGGTTAGGTGCTTTGAAGACATGGAACCAAGGGCTACAAACCCAAAGGCCTGTAAGAGGCCAGACAGGTCAAGGTCTAGAGAGAAGCCACTTCCAAGTTCACAACACTCTGCCTCCAAAAAGTAAAAGGTCTTTTCCATTTTCCTTAAAAGGCTGTGGCCTTCTTGCACAATAGACCATTTCCCCACTTTTGATAGGGACACAGGCTCAAGAATCATTCCCCTGTCTCTTAATTTGAACGTGGCGATTGATGCATGGTTTCTGTGTTGGAGAGGTGCTAGGAAGGAACAGGTTACTGCTAAGGGCCCACTGCTTATCAGCCCAGGCTCTGGAGGCCTTGCAAGACGTGTACAGGAATGGTGTTGCCAGATTTCTGATGCTTCAAGAGAAGCCCAAAGGTCTGGGTCTCCCTGTCTGCTGTAGTTCTGGGGATGGTACCCAGGGTTTTACACTTGGCAAGGCAAGCACTGCTCTACCACTGAGCTGCACCCCCCAGACCAGAGACCTGGGTTTTTATGTGAAACTACTGAGTCTTACATATTGGCAGCTAGTGTATAGTTTCTACGAACACCACATAGGCCCAGTAAAATATATGAGAGGGTCAAAGCTGGCTCTTGGGTTCCAAGTCTACAGCCTGTGTTCCTGGATTCTCCTTGTGAGCAGAGGAACAGCCTCTGTGCTGGATTGGGCTCTGCCATGGTGACAAGGGTGAGACTGTGATAGAGCAACATGCTTTTGTGCACCTGCATTCTGGCCAGAGGAACTCTGATGCATTTGCCTAAAGATGCACTTGAAGGTAGATGTTGATGTTCTTGAAGGTAGATTTGGTTACTGTGAGGTCCCTTTCTGGATATCCTGCTGTCTGGGTGAATGTGTTTGGAGGAAGTTGACTGAAGGGGGTTCCAGAGCTTCTTTCTAGTGAGTTGAATTAAGGCAGCCACAGTGAGGGCTGGAGAAGGGCTGACTGTAATGCACAGAGCTTTGCCTTGGCTGGCCACACTGTGTGGGAACCACGGTACATGACAGGCAGTCTGGGTGTAGCATTCTGAGGCAGGCCTGAACTTGTGTGGGGCAATGAGTTTGACCCATTTATAAATATGGTCAGGGTTTGCAAACAGTAATTGTGGCCGCCTATGAGTGCTTGCTGGCTCTTGGTACTCCATTGGCTGCTGTGCATGTGCTCACACTGCTCACAGGTGTCCCCCTGGGGCATAGGAACCAGCTTTATGCTGTACTGTGCTGAAAAATTATACATAAAAAAAATGACCCCTCCCCCCAAAAAAACTAATATATTTTGCAAGCTAGGTATAAGAACTTCAGGATTATTTTGTAGTTTTGCTGGACAAACAGGAGCTTAGAGGCATAAAAGGATTTGTAGGAGGTCACTTAGGATGTCATTGGGGGAGGTGGGGCTAATGAGAACAAATACCCAATTGCCTACTGTGGTATTGCTAGAAGGACCCTGCTGTCTGGGACCTAGCACTGTCAGTTCACATCCCAGGACTCCCTGAGTCCTGTGTGAACCAGGAGGGCTGGTCTCTCCAATTGCTGTTGGCTCTTACTCTGTCTAAATATTTGGTTGTGTTTTATTAAGAGCCCATTGAACATCTGAAGTGATGATCTATTCTGGAATGAAATATGAGATAAGATTGAATGGAAAGGAGACTCAGTGCCCAGAGTTAATAAATAGGGATGGCAGAAATTTCCTCCATCGTATACAAATTACATTAAAGAACTGGCAGCTGAAACTGAGATGTTCTGATGTGAAAAGCTAATGCAAAAATGAGCTGTGACTCAGAGGCGGAGTTGGTGGTGAAGGAGCAGTATCAATCCAAAATTTCTTTAAAGAAGCTGGAAAGCATGGCCATAAGGCCTCCTGAGAGGTCTGAAGAGAGTGGACCTATATAGGTAAGGACCCTTGTGAGTGGTAGAGAATGGCCAAGGTCATGCACATTCAGGATAGAAGGAGGGATGATCTGGAAGCCAGAATCCCAGATGTTTTGCTCTTAAGGAAGAGAAAAAAGAGTGATCTTTATCTGAGGAACTTGCAGCTAGTGTGATTCTATGACAAGGAACACTTGCAAGGCCCATCTTCTTCTGTGACGAGTCAGTGAAATGCAACAGTAGGTGTAGTTTTTCTCGGCCCTTCCTAGTTCTTTATTCCTGCTTTCTCCTCCTGTATTTATAAAGAACTCAACTACAGCACAGTTTGCTGTGAGATAGTACCTACCAGAAGATCAGAATCAACCAGGGAAGATGCCATGAAGGAAGGACTTACTGTCCTCATCCCCAGAGTGGTGTGGCATGATGACTGCACACCCCAGAGTCAGCTAGGTGGCAGGGCCAAGTCCTTGCTGACAATGCAGAACTTTGTAGCATGTGTGAGGTTGGTGTCTGATAGATAGCACAGGCTCTGAAATCAAAATGCCTGGGTTGGAATCCTGGATATGCCATTTATTGGCAATCCAGTCTTGGGCCATGTCATTTACCTTCTCTTAGTCACTTTTGGTTAGTATAACAAAATACCTGAGACTACCAATTTATGAAGAGAAGAGTTTTAGGGCTGGAGATGTAGCTCAGTGGTAAAGTGCCTACCCAGCAAGCTCAAGGTCCTTGGTTTGATCACTAGCACTTCAAACAAACATAAAACAACTACCCCCTCCCCCTCATAAAAAGTCTCTCTTTAAAGAGAAAACATTGATTTTGGGTCACAGTTTTGGAGGCTCCAGCTCATAATTGTTGGCCCCATTGTTTTTAGGCCTCTGGTTGGAGTGTCAGATGGCAGTAGTGTGGAGTGTATGGCAGAGCAAAACCATTCATATCAAAACTCAGGGGCAGGCTGGGGGCATAGGTCACCTGGTAGAGCTCCTGCCTAGCAGATGTGAAGCCCTGAATTCAAACTCCAGTGCCACAAAAAAAAAAAAAAAAAAAGAGCTAAGGGGCAAAGAATGAAGAGGGGACCTGAGCCTCACAGTCCTCTTTGAGAGCATTTGAAGGGCATGTCCCTAAGGACCTGAAGACCTTTCACTAGGCCCCACCTCTTAAAGGGTCCCCCAGTTCCTATTCATGCTACTTTGGGATTCAAGTTTTTAACACATAGACCTTTGGGGAATATTCAAGATCAAAACCATCTAATTTATTAAGGAAGTAGTACTTGTAAAACCTTATAAAGGACTGGGGGCATTGCTCAGTAGAATGCTTGTCTGGTATGTGTGAGGTCCTGGGTTCAATCTTCAGCTCTGCACAAACAAACAAAACCTCTAAAACCTTGGTCTCCAAAACCTGGTGTGTAGATCAGTGGCGTTAGTATTTTCTGAGAGTTGGTTAGAAATGCAAACCTCAGAGTCCACGCTAGACCTTCTTGAATCAGAACTTGCATTTGGCCAGTGGCCTGACGGGTGATTTGTAAGCATATTAGAATTTGAGAAGCAGTACCTTACAGCTAAGGGACTTGGAGCAGTGCCAGATGTGGAGATGCCTTCTGTAGATTTTATTCCCTCCCACATTATCATTATTATGTAGTTTTGAACTATATGGGAAAAAAATTTAAACTGTTCACGTCAAAGAACTATCTTTGTAGGTAAGAAAATGGTGTAACTGGTACCTGTTGGGCCCTTTAGTCCCTCTTGTGTTAGTTTTGTTCCTTAGGGAGCAGTGTGGTATTGAGGTCAGGGAGGACTAATTAGTGTCTGACTGGACGCAACTGTGGAAGCAGCTGACGCATGGTGCAGGGCATCTGCCCTACTTCACCTGGGAATCACAGTGGACAGTGAGTCTGCAGCATCGCACTGTCATCAACAACAGGCAGCCGGAAGTAGAATTTGCACTTGGTGGCTCACTAGGGAGACCAGGAAGCCATGAGCCCAGCTGACCTCAGAGGCCTTTTGTGAGCTGTTTAGTGTGGAGGCAAGTGGGTAACGCCCACCAACCCTGTGTGTGGTCTGCCCTGTCAAATAGACGTAGGAATTATGAGGAAAGGATAAAATGTGTTGGAATTGTTCAACTGGGAGTAGGCAGGAAGGATTGATGAGCAATTCATGATGGCTTCCGGGCCCAGGACCAACTTACTTACTCTTAACTTCTGTTCAGTAGAAAACCCAAGAGATGGGTATGTTTGCAGGTGAGAAACAAGGAATTGCTTTTTGGTGGCAAGGCTGGTTGTATCTCCAACTATGCAGTGACAGCAATGTGGCTGAGAATCTCAGGCAGACTCTCTGTACTTTGCCTGCATATTGTCTCCTTTTGCCAGCACTCCTTCCTCTGGATTTGTGTCTGGCTTTCTTCTTTAACAGAGAAATGTAAGTCTGGAGAAGAAAACATTCTCCAAGAAATGGAGAAAAGACAACTGGACTTGAACTTGGAAGAAGTTGACATAATTTTGTCACTTACTAGCAGCATGACTCTGAGCTAGCCGTTCAAGTCTCTGAGTCTTAGTTTTTGTTATCTCTTACATGCAAATAATTACCTGTGGATTTGCATCCATGATTCAACCAACTGCAAATCGAAAATGTTAGGCAAAACAATTGTGTCTGCACTGAACGGGTACAGGCTTTTTTCTTGTCATTGTTCCCTAAAACAATACAGTATAACAGCTATTTACATAGTAGGTGACATACGTTATCTTAGGTATTATATGTAATCTAGATATGATTAAAAGTATACAGCAGGGTGTGCAAAGGTTATGTGCAAACACTGTGCCATTTTTAGAAAGAATTCGAATCCACAGAATTTAGTATTCTCAGGAATCCTGGAACCCATCCTTTGTAGATACCAAGGGATAACTATAGTCTCTCAGCCACTTGCTTATTTATCCATTTCCCTCTCTTTCATTCACTTACTGGACACATTTATTCACTCGCTCTTCTCTGTTGACTACCTGCTATGTTGTGGGGACCCGGAAGCTGAAACTAACTTGCAGGAGTTTTAAAGAGGAAGAGAGTTTAATGTATACAAAGGAGTATTGTATATTGAAAAGCTGCAGCTCTAATGTGTATGTGTCACATTTGTGCCTCTCAAGAAATAAATCATAGTGGATTTTCAAGTGGTAGGATGCTGGAACCAGAAGGGGCCTTGGTTCCCTGTTTGAGAAGCCATTAACTTGCTGTGTGCAACTTTCTGAACCTTCTTGGGTTGCCAGTGTCCATTCTTGGCTGGCAGAATGGAAGTGAGGAAATTCCACTTCCTCTTTTTACCCATCCTGATTAACTGTGAGTTCTCAACTTGCTGCCTTCGCCCAAGCTGTTTTTGTGACAGTCCCTCATGACGTGCTTGGTAGTCTGGAACATACGCTGAGTGTCCTAGTAGTTCCTTCTATGGTGACCCAGATAAAGGGAGAGGCTCTGTTTTTGCTTCTTCTAACCTTGACATTTATGATATGTTAATGACCTATAGGTGCTCTGGGTTCCCTATGTACAAGCCCTCCTCCTGTCCTTACTGCTTGCATAGGGTGTTAACAAATATTCACGTGCCCATCCTAATGACCTTGTGTTTTTTTAGTTTTTGAATTTGTGTGTCTGGTGCCAGCACGGTACCAGGCTCATGTGAACCTCTCAAGGCTTGTTTGCAGTTGAATCAAATGTGCAGGAATGGCAGGACATTTTCTGGGATCAGTCCAGGGGTCCCCTTTCTTCTTGAAATTTACCTGTCATTTTTTTTTAATGCTTCCCTCAATTCTCTTTCCCAGAAATCATTTGAAAAATAACTTATTGTTATATTCATCTATTAGGTTTTTCTGAAGCCCTTGATTATGTTAACTATATTTCATATCTCACAGGTATGAAATTCCAGATTCAAAACATCTGCCAACTTCCATTCTATCCTCCATGTACCCGAGATGATAATGGCTTTGAGGTTGCTGGCTTGAAGGCAGGCAGCCAGGGTCAGGACCTCACTGCTGCTTACATACTGTGTTGTTACTGTGGCAAGTAACTAATTGCATGAACCCCATTTTCTTCTTTGTAAAACAATTTTAGGAATTGCACTTGCCTTGTGTGCATTGCTATAAGAGCTACCTGAGCCCATTCATCTGAAGAGGTTAGTATCGTCACTGCACATAGTGAGCGCTCAATGAATTGAGTTATTCTCGCATTGTATTACCATGGTTACTGTCATTACCAGAAACCAGGAGGCCATGGAGAAGTGACTTCTGTTGGCTGGGAAAGGATCCTGCTGCTGCTACACACTCATACAGAATATTAGGGCCAGAGAGGGGTTCTGGGACTTGAACCAGGGCCTTGTGCTGTAGCACTGAGCCACACCTCCAACCTGCTGATGTTTTAATCTCTGCATATTTAATCACCCAGTGCTCCTTTTTTTCCCCTGTGAAAGTTTTATTTCTTTGGGCATTAAATGATGTAACGCACAAACTTCCTGGCAGGGGGGAAGAATTAGATTACCTTTCAGGGAACACTTTAGAGAATGGCAAAGCAAATATTCCCTTTAGAATAGAGCACTTTCTCTCTGCCTCTAGACATATTTGTTAACACTTAACCCAGACCTATCGGTTCTGTCTCTTGCTCCAGGGATTTGGCCTTGCTTCAAGAAAGAGACTTGGTATATTCCAGGCAGGGGCGGTTGTACCCCTACCATGCTTTCTGCCCCCAAAAAGTTTGGGGACAGGCATAGAGGTGCCCTGCTTTCCCTTTGTGGGTTATCTGATAACATCAACAGTTATGAAGTCAGGGACCCGGGGGAACCATGCTCAGAATTTCTAGCAGGACACTGGGAAGTGAAGGCACAGTGAAAGGCCTTTCTCCCTGATTCCTCACCAGCTCTTTTCTGATTCCTCCCTTTCCGTGTATTCCAGGTGTATGTGTCTTACGACTATGGAAAATCATTCGATAAGATTTCAAAGAAGCTAAACTTTGGTGTGGGAAATAGCAGTGAAGCTGTGATCGCCCAGTTCTACCACAGTCCTGCGGACAACAAGCGGGTAAGGAAGTGGGTGGCCCCATCGTGGGTCCTGGCTTCCTAATGGTCAGTCCTGGTTGCATTTTGGGAATGTTGCTCTGTAGAAGGGGGCTGGGCCACAGAGCCCTTTGTGATCTTTGCAGCATGACCTGTGTTTCTGCTAGCCTGGGAGCTGGTCATTACTGATTAGTTTTCAGGGTGGGTCTTTGCATAATCAGGCAGGCCGAGTACTGGTCAGGCAGGATTTTTAGACAAACAGTGGCAGGTTCAACCACAGAAAGTTTGCCAACCAATAAATTGCCTGACTCACTGGTGGCAGAAATATTTCCCAGAGACACTGGTCTCCATTGCAGTATTATCCTTGGCTGCTGAATTGATCTTGATTTCCTTGGCATCAAAAGTGTGTATGTGTGTGTGTGTATGTGTATATGCATGTGTAGCACATGAGTGCGTGATTGTGCATTCCTCTTTCCTTCTTTCTGACCTTCCATGGATATAGAAAAGCAACCCAAGGTAGCAGATATAGCTGCCTGGGGGCTTTGTTTCTTCTTTTAGCACCCCCACATAGTTGGATTTGGAGGAAGTGTTGACCCTGGGCTACCAGGCAGGTAGAGAAGGCAGAGGGTAAGAACCTGCCCTGAGAATTGTTTCATTCCTTGCTTCCAGGGCTGGATGGAGAAAGACCCTTTACAGAGCATCTCCTTAGGTAGTGACAGCTTTCTGGAGTCTGCTGTTTTCTGCTCATTCAGACAGGTCTGGGTGAATAAAGGCCCTTCTTCTAGGGCCTGGTGCTGTCTTCTCAGGTTGCCTGGTCTCCTTAGTGGGGGGCCAAATTCAAAATATTTAGCAACTGGTGTGGCCAGGCCCTGGCCAATCAGAACAGACCCAGTCAAAGCTGGGTCTGGGAGGCCCCCTGCTGGCCAGGCTTTAACCTTTTAGTTGCTGGATTGGGGACAACCCTGAGCAGGGCCTCTGCCTCTGGGACTTTAGGGGAAAACACTTGGGTTTCTGGGTAGGAGGTGCTGTTTATCAGCTGGTATAGAGCAGGTTTTTTTTGTTTTTGTTTTTTTTTAAATAGCCAGACTAGTCATTACTGGTACATGCTGGTTAAATATCAGCTTTGCCTAATGATGTTAGAGTTAGTAAAGTACAGTTAGCTGCAAACTCCCCTCTCTTACCTGACTCCAGGGAGGCAGAGCTCTTTTCCTCTGAGATGAAAAGTGAGGTGAAGGTGTTGGAGGGAACTAGCTGTGTAGACCGCATGACTGACTGTGGTGTTCCTTCCTTCTACTGTCCTGTGTGCTCCCAGAGGTGGGGGTTTCTGCTGCCACCTTGCTCTGACTCATGCTGTCATGAACTCCATCTAGGGTACAGTTGTACTGAGTCCTAGATGGGTCTGTGTGCCCCCTGCCTCTCCAGCACGTGACACTGGATTGTTCACTTTATTAGGACACACTTATCTGATTGTTGCTGCCACTAGGTTTCCACATGCCTCAGTGCTAACTCTGGCTGAAGCTGTGGCCTCGGATTGCCCTGTTGTCCTGCTGGACTCTCCCTTTTTAGCTTCATCTCAGCCCCTCCCACCTTAGGGCCCAGATGCCTGCTGGCAGGTGCATCTTCCTTCCTGCTTGCAGTAGGTTGATGAACAGCAAGAATAGGAAAGGCTACGCTGCTGCCTGTGTGAGGAGGCGGTGTCATGCAGGCAGAACACAGGGGCATTTGGGAGCTTTAGGTCAGCAGAAGGCACGAGTAGGACCATGGATCAGGGCAGCAAGGCAGGAGAAACCTGGGGATAATTGAGGTAGAAGGTTGAGCTGGCACATGGTGAGGTGGGGCAGTGTGCTCACAGTGTGTCATCTGCCTTTCTGAGTGGGCCATTGCAGGTTTCTTGTGGATGGGGTGGCGAGGATGAGGAGTTGAGAGAATGGAGAGGCTGCCTTTTTGGAGAACATAATGATGCTTGAACCTGAGGCCTAGAGCAGAGGTGAGGGAAGGAGGCAGTCTTCTGTAGAGTTTCTAGTTCCCCAGAGAAGGCTGTGAACCCCCAGACATCTCAGGAAGGAAGTAATGACTCTTACTGTGCTGATTGCTTTTGTTACGTTTACCTTCGTTCCCTGGAAGGCAAATTGCCCCACCAGACTTACCACTTCCTGAGAAAAAACATACAAGGCAGGGTGCCTTGCCGTCAATACTGGATGCTGGGCCCAGGTACTTCACCTGTTTAAAACTCTCCAGTGGGCTGTCAGGGCTTGAAGCAGATGTCAGAATCTGTTCTGGGAGATTACGATGGTGGGAGAGGACAACCTGCATGTCCAGGGGGATGTATACAGTGGAAGAGGAAAGAAGGTGCAAGGAGGAAGCCAGCTCTCATCCATGGCTTTGCCTCCCATTGGAGACAGTGGTAGGGGGCCTGTGAGTGTCAGGACCTATTTTCTTGTGCCCTGATCCCAGAGCCAATGTGCTGCTCTTGCCATCTGGAAGTGCCACTAGCTTTAGAGGCTCCCAAACTTGGTAAGGCAGTATCTCATAGTGTGTGGGCCTTAAGGGCCACTGAGGTGCACTTGGTCTTGACAGCCTTGACCTCAGCAGAAGCAAGAACTAATCCTGCTTTTTTCCAGGGTGAGGCTGATCCCAGGTAAAACTGTAAACAGGTTTTTGTTTGTTTGTTTCCCTTCCTTCCCTTGTTGCCTTCTCTGCCCTCCAGAGATTTCTGCACTCAACACTGGAGAAAGTCTAGTATGATGACAACATGTAGATATATTCTGTAGCTTAGTTTGTGATCTTTCCAGAAGTATTTGTATTTTCAGATGAAATACAGCTAAATTCTGGAATGCTAAGTGACTGCAAACAGTGCTGGAGAAGCTAGAGGAGGTGCAGATGCTTCCTGTGGTGTAGGAGCACCTAGTAGGGCAGCTCTCTTGGCAAATCTGTGGGGTTAGCTGCCAGTGAACTTGATAGCCAGGCAGTATAGAGACTTCAAAGCAGGGTAGGACAGTCTGCTTTCCTACCATGTGTGTAGGTGATGTGTTACATAACAGCAAGGTGTACCGTGTGCCTGTGAGGGATGAAACCTGCCTCTGAGTGGAGCTGTGACATTAGTGAGGTTGACTTAGAGAAGTCTTGTCTTCATGGGGTGCTTAAAGATCGGAATGGGGCTTCAAGGATGGGCACACAGCATCAATAGGCAGAGCAGAGTTGGTGGGAGACTTTAAGCAGAAGGGTATGGGTAGAGCTATCTGAGGGCTCTGTGTGGGGCAGTCAGGAGATTTGCGTCTCAGGAGTAGAGGGTTTTCCTTGAGCTGCTTTGCAGTGTTCACCTTCCTCCTGTAGGTGGAGGAGACTGTCTTTTGCCCTGAGGATCGTGGGGAGGCATGGAAGAATCTTTGAGGAAGAGAGTAACTGAATGTGTCTTCTAGGGAAGTGTGTTATCCTATGATTTATTGGAGAGAGAGAAGAATCTAGAAAGGGAACCATTGTGGCGGTGTAGTTGCTTAGCCATGCATCCAAACCTTGTAACCCCGTCCAAGTGTTTCACACTCTGTTAGTCCCAGAAGAACCAAGATGACTAAAACCTAGTGCTGGTCCCCTTTTGCTCACAGTCTCTAATAGGGCCACGAGCTTGCCAGTACTATGAGGTTACAAAGAAAGGCATAGACTTTGAGAAAGATTTTAGGGGATAACTTAATGGGGTATGTGGCTGCTTAACAGTGAGGGGTGAAAAGAAGGAATGGAATAGGACCCCAACCCTGATTGTGAGTTACAGGCTTGGGATGTTGTGTGGATGGAATTTGGGGTGTGGGAAGGGAGAATTTTTTTGGTGGGAAGTTAGTAAAGAATTTCGTTTTAGACATAATGAAATATCTTGGTCCATTCAGGTATAGACAGTGAAAAGGTAAACAAGGTAATGAAAGAATCTCAGTGAGAAGTCAGAGTTAGATTATAGATATGAAAATCATTGTATTAGGCTATTGTCTGTTGCTATAACAAAATACCTGAAGTTGGGTACTTGATGAAGAAAAGAGGCTTTATTTAGCTTAGTCTTTAGAGGCTGAAAAGCTGAGATAGAGTGGCCCTATCAAGTTGACCTATGGCAAGGGCCCCTGGGCTACATCACACAATGGTGGATGACATTATGGAGGGCAAGATAACTGATGAGACAGAGAGTGGAAGGAAAGAACTGTATCAATTCCTTTGGAGGGCAGAATCTCCAGTGACTGAATTTACCTTGCATGGGGTCACACTGATGAGATCCTACCACCTCTTAGCATTGCCACACCAAGGACCAAGCTTCCAGTGTGAACCTTTGGGAGTGGGGGCAGACTGTAACAGGCGGGCGATGCTTCTTTTTAAAGGCAGTGGCTGACGTGGTATGGAAGGATAAGAATAGAAGAGTTCTGAGTTCCAGGAGGGTAGAAAGGGTTGAAGACGAAGGAACCTACAAAGGAGAATCAGGATCTGAGTCGGTGAGGGACAGGGGTGGGAGCTGGAGAGTTGAGAATGAAGACTGTTGTAGAAGGCCAGGAAAGAGAATCTCTCTTAAGAAGTAGTTTAGGAGAGGCAGCACATAAATGAGTTAAATAGTACAATGTAAGACCTGAGCACTGAATTCAGGAAATGCTGCTTTTTGGTTAGACGAGAGATAAGGACTGATGAACTGTTAAGAGATGGCCTCTGCATCAGCCAGATATGGCCATAAATGCTGTCCTCATTATCAGAAGGAGGTGTGAATGTACAGAAAGCCTGGATCACTCTTTTAAATGAGATAAGGTGTACAAAACTTAGTTTGGGGCCTGGCACATACGTAACAAGCACTCTCGAAAGATTTTAGCTATTATAAACAAGAGCAAGTTCTGTGATGTTTTGGATTCACAAATGGGAAGTTGTGGAGAGCTATGAAATGGATTTCTGGAGAAATCTTCTCAAACTGAACAGTTCTTCTGCAGTAACCGAGATGTTTGGGCGCTGAAAGGCTCTTTCTAGGGAATATTGTTACGATGATAATATGATGGTCTTCCTTGGATCATCGGTGTTTTTATTGCATTGCATTTTCTTAGAGTAATTTTTGCTTTCAAAACATTTACTACCTTTTTGTTAGATTTAATTAGGCTTCTATAGAGTGTGGAGATTTACATTAGATGCTGGGGAGGAAATGGAAGAGAAAGAACACATAAAGTGGGAAGTTTATGGTTGGATTTGGGGAGAGTGCGCCAATGAGAAGGAGTAGGAACACCTGAAGGCAACGTGGGAGGAGTGCAGATGTAGTGCAGGAAGGGTTCTGAGCTGGAGCTCCATCTAGACCAGGGCCTTCTTCTGGAAGCAAGACTGGCCCCCATGTCTCAAGTGAATTCAAGGTCTCAGGCACCTTTGTTCCAACCTTTCTTCTTCTTCTTTTTTTTTTTTTTTTTTTTTGTAGTATTGGGGTTTGAGTTCAGGGCCTACACCTTGAGTCATTCCACCAGCCCTTTTTCTATGATGGGTTTTTTGCTCTAGGGACTCTAAAACTATTTGCCCTGGCTGGCTTCAAACTGTGATCCTCCTGATCAGCTAGGATTACAGGTGTGAGCCACAGGTGCTTGGCTTCCAGCCTTGTTTTGAGTCTTTCTCTTAGGCCCTCGAGGCTCTCATCAAACCTATATGATACAGTTTTTTTCTCATTCATACTTAAAAGTCAGCCTGCCCCAGACATGGTACATTCTTTCCCTGTGGAAGTTGTGCCTATTCTTCAACACCCACCTCTTCCCTGGGTTATTTCTGACACCTCCAGCTCGGTAGGTTTCATAGACCTGTGGTCGTGGTTTTTCATGTAACCTTGAATTCTGGCCAGGCCCGTCATCTCCTCCATTAGGTTGCCAACTTCTGAAGGAAGAATCCTGGGCTTTCACTGTGGTAACCCCAGTGTATGGCCCATGGTGGGCCAGCATTGCACACATGTTAAATTGAATGGCCTTGGTCCTGCTGCCCGAGAAATCTTGAGACGAAAGCAGCTGCTATTCAGCTGAACTTGTTCAAAGTCACTGACCCATGCAGAAGCAAAATAAGGAAAGGCTCCTGTTCACCATTGCTACTTCCTGCTCTGCCCCAGCATGTCTGCCAGTGCAGTTGGCCCCCAGAGCTTCCTGGCCACCTAGCATAGTAGTGAGAAGGAGGAGCTAATCTTAGATGGATGTTATTTTGCAGTTTTCCTGGCTGTGCCCATCCTATAAGTGCTCTGAGGATGTAGGGAAAGACAGCAGTCCCATCTGAGTTCAGCCAATCTGAAGGACAAGACCGTCTCTGTACCAGCCACCCTCTCATTGTGAGTGAGTGACTTGCAGGGAGTGAGAATGTCCAAGTTGTGAAAGGAAAAAACTTCATTATCTGGCCACACAAGCTCACTTGGCCCATCTCTGTCCCCCTTCCTTCCCCGAGTCTGCTTTGGTGTGTCCAGCATGTTTTCATTGACAGAAGATGGGGAGAAAGCCATTGGGGAAGCTCCTAAGTGTGGCACCATGAGTGCCTGTGTCCCTTGCCTTGCGTGTGCTCACAAGTGGTCTGGGGAAGTCAGGTAATCCTGAGTGGGCGCTGCTCTGAATTTACCTGATTTTTTTTTGCAGTACATCTTTGCAGATGCTTATGCCCAGTACCTCTGGATCACATTTGACTTCTGCAGTACCATCCATGGCTTTTCCATCCCATTCCGGGCAGCTGATCTCCTCCTCCATAGCAAGGCCTCCAACCTCCTCTTGGGCTTTGACAGGTCTCACCCCAACAAGCAGGTAAGAGAGTTTCCGGAGTAGTCATGCGTGTTTCCTGTCCTGTTCTACCCTGTCTGGGTGGATTGTGTGTCCTTTGAGTGACCCCGCCTTCTGCCCCCTCTCTCTCAGCCTTTGTAGCTACTATTTCACTTACCACTGCTAAGGAAAAGTATATCCCTGAGCACCCTCCTCCTGTGTCCCTGCCAGCACTCAGCACCCGGCACTTGGCAGGCCTTGTGAGTTCAACACCAGGCTTCTCTGGGCAGATGACCCTCTTTTAGCCAATGTGGTAAATTGAGGCCTTGGAATTTAATCGGAGACAGCTACGTGAGAAGTCTGGAGTGTGAACTCTTCTGGGACCTCTTGTAGCACTTCTCTTTTACTTCCCTATCCTTCACCTTATTATTTTTGTTTGTTTTCTTGTAGCACTGGCATTGAATGCAGGGCCTCGCCCCTGTCAGGCAAGCGCTCTGCCACTGAACTACATCCCCACCCCCACCTAAAAGCATGCTTCTCTTGCCTACCATTTATTTGAAGTCCCCAGTAACTTTAATATTCTTCCTTTCTGTGGGTGTGTTTGTGCATGTGCATCTGCGTGTGCATGCGTTGTGTGTATAACATGCCTTGTATTTTCCTCTTTGAATCCAGGTTTGAAGGAATATTAACAGGTGAGGAGAGGGTGTGAGTAGGATTGCTATCTCAAGGTTGAAACTTGCCAAGTCAAGAAAATAGGTGGGGCATAAACTTAGGAAACCTGTAGATCTCGTGGGATTGGATCCTTGATGTTTCTTGAGTGTTTTTGCTCAGAAGAACTTTGGAACAGTTCTTTTGCTTTGCAGGTTGTTTATCCAAAACACAGATCTGTTTACCTTTGTGTGCCTTAGGAGTAACCTAAGCTTGTAGGGGTTGGGTCGGTTTACCAGTGGAGGTGGATTATTGTTATTTTTGGTCTCAAGCTTCTTAACATACTTACTAGTGCCAGAGGAACCCTTAGGTGTCTGTGGAGGTTGTGGGGCTTTGGCAAAAATCAGCAGGTTAATTACTCATGGCTGAGTCTGTGTGTTCAGTTGATGCCCTGTGGTGCTCTGTACCTAGCCATTGTCCTGTTCTTCTGTATTTAGCTTTGATGATCAAGACCATTTATGGTTTTTCTTTTCTTTCTTTCTTTCTGTTTTTTTTTTTTTTTTTTGGTGCTGAGGATTAAACCCATGACTCTGCAAACTCTACACCAGCCCCTAGTTTTAGTTTTCTTCTTCTTCTCTCTTTTTTTTTTGTAATATACAGTTTACTCCCTTAACTCCCTCCCAGCACCTGGCTGGCAACTGCCATTCTACTTTCTGACCATGATTTTGACTACTCTAGGCACCTTGCATAAGTGGAATGATACATGACTTGTCTCTTTGTACCTGACTTAATTCACCAGTGTCTTCAAGGCTCATCCATATTCAGCATGTGTGAGAATATCTTTGCTCTTTTGAACATGTTATGCTTCATTGTATAGATACACTACAGTTTGTTCATCTGTTCATTTCTCAGTGGACACTGGGTGCTTCCAAGTTTTGGTATTGTGAATAATGCTGTGTCCATTATCTTTTTTTTTTTTTTGTGGTGCTGGGGATGGTGGGGATAGAACCAGGGCTTCCTGTATGCTAAACAAGTGCTTTATACCACTCAGCTACAACCTCAGCACCCCGTCAAAAAATACCACTACCTGGAGGCTAATTTTGAGTAAATTAAAATTTCTGATAATCTGTAAATGGAAAGCAAGTCACACTCATTTTTCCTTCTAGTCCCTGTTGAGAGTCTTTGTGACTATGGGGAGGAATGTGAAGGTGCACCTGTGACCTTTCTTCTCTATCCGTGTGCTGTGGCTTGTGAGCTGGCTCTGGTGATCTCAGTCCCTGTCCTCATAGACAGCTGCCGTGGAGGGTGGGATTTCAGTGGGTGCTAGACTGTTATGCTGGCAGGTGTACACATCTCTCTCATCATGACTGCTTCTTCTTGGTTTGGTCTTTGCAGCTCTGGAAGTCCGATGATTTTGGCCAGACCTGGATCATGATTCAGGAACATGTGAAGTCCTTCTCTTGGTAAGTTATGTCCTCTAAGTTATGTTACCTCCTGTCCAGTTCTAGCTCCTTGATGGTGGAAGACCTTTTGCCCCAGAAAGGATGTTGTTTTGCCTCAGAAAGGATAGAGTGTTAGCACTTTCAACCCCTGAGGGAACTCCAGGGAATCCTGAGGCTCTTGCATGCAACAGAGTTCCTTAAGACTGTCATTTTTGAAGCACTATATCAGGAGGGGGATTTCTTCCGTATAAAATTCAGACGTTTGTTCATTCATGTCTACATAAAAACCTGCTCGATACTTCAGGGTATAAGAAATTGAGTGATTTATGGGCGTAATTATTAAAGAGGATACGGTCTGGGGTAAGAAAAGACTTTCATGTATATAACACACATAGAAGATGCACAGACCTAACAGACATTGCAGGAAGCCAGAGGACAAAGTGTCTTTCCTGATGGGAGGCTTGACAGCTTTAGGGAGGAGGTTGCCCTTGATCCAGGGGCTGCACAACAGGTCGGTGGGAGCATATGTAGGTATGTTAGCCACAAATGGCGGTACATGCCTGTAAATAGCACTTGGGAGTGGAAGACTAAGACAGGAGGCTCTTGAGTTCAAGGCCAGCCTAGGCTCCATAGAGAAACCCTGTCTCCAAAAAAACCAAACCAAAACAAAAAACCCCCAGAAAGGATTTTGGACTGACTTTTCAGAGTAGTGGGGCATCAATATAGGTGTTTGAGGAGGAGAGTGAAGTAGACAACCTGTAGTTTAAAAGTATAGCCGTTTCTAGCCATGGTTACATCAGCCTTTGTGCTTTGACCGCCATGCAGTGTGTGACTTTGAACACAAGAGTTATGTGTGTGCAATGCATGTGTAGAGCAGATTTCTAGGAGGGACTGTGGAGTGAGTGGGTTTATCTACCTGCTCATCACCCCTGCCCTGTTCCCATAGGCAACTGATAGACACCACAGACCCGGTACCTCCCAAAGTGACTTTAGATCCTCATTACCCTACACCAGCTGTCCCTATCACCTTCCCCAGTTTGGCATCTGGCAGATCAGGTCAAGGACACTGGAGTCAGTGTTGCTCCTTCAGTACCCAGCTGCCCACTCAGCTGCCACTTTGCTCCAAGCCTCTGGTGTTAATCATGAGTCTCCCAACTGCTCTTTGTTATTTCACACTTGTGCTTCTACAGTTAATGCTCAGCACAGGGACAGGTCGATCCCACCACCACCAGGTCAGGTCATATCATTATTCTCCTTTGAACTTTTGGTACATCATCATTTCTCTCAGGTAGAATGTCAGGTGCGTATTTGTCACAGGGCACTGGGCCTTTGCACTTGCTGTTTTCTTTTTTTTAATTAGCATGTTACTGTCATGCTGGGGGGTACATTGTGACATTTGCAAAATGCACTTGATATTTTCTCTGCTCAGAGTGCTCTTTCCAGAAGATACTTGCTGTTTATTCTCTTACCTCTGCAGACCTTTGCTTAAATAACTCCGATTTATTTGTTTATTTAAAGTTTCTTGTGTCTGTTTAAACTATACAATATCATGTTAGATGTAGTCAGTAAAATGGTTACCATAGTGAAGCAAATTAGTGTATTGGTTATCTCTTGCAGTTATCCCTTTTTATGTGTGTACAACAAGAGTAGCTACAATTTATTCATTTAGCAAAATTCCCCAATACAATGGGCTATTATTAAGTTTAGTTCTCATGTGGTACAACAGATCTCTAGACTGGTTCATCTATGCCTTCCATCTCCCTCCCATTTTCTTCTCTGTCTTGATTTTTGATATTTTTTTGATTCTGTATGAGAGATCATACAATGTTTTTCTTTCTGTGTTTGGCTTATTTCACTTAGCACATTGTTTTCTAGGTCCATCCATGTTGTTGCAAAATGTCTCCTTTTTAAAGGTTGAATAATACTCTATTACATCTGTCTACCAGACTTTTTTCATCCCCTTTTTTGTCAATGAACACATAGATTGTTTTCATATCTTGGCTATTGCGAATGATGCTGTAGTAAACAAGGATGTCTTAACGTCCTCAGGAGGTGTGATTTGATTTCCTTTGGGGTCTGTACCTGGAAATATAATTGGTGGGCCATATAGTAATTCTACTTTTTAGTTTCTTTAGGATCCTTCCTATTTTCTGTAATGACTGTACCAGTCTAGGATCCCACAGTGTGCCAGAGGATAGTCTTTTCTCTTGTCTTTTTTATAATAGCTATTCTAATGTGCATGAGGTGTTTTCTTAGAGTAGTTTGATTCATATTTCTAAGGATACTATTTAAAATTGCAGCTGTTACCTGATTTTTTCCAATTTACTGTATACTATTTTGTATATAGCACCTTATTATATTCTATTATACAATTATTACACATATTAATTGGTTTTTCTTTAAAAATAGAATCACCCTCCCCTCTCCCCCGACAGGGGTTTTTGTTAGTTTTGTGCATGATAGATCCCTAATAAGTGGTAACTTTGGTAGACACTGCCAAATTTTCCATGGAAAATATCAAATTTGCACTTATCTCAGCCATGTAGACTAGTGTCTTTTTCCATAGCCAGGGAAATAGTGTCTCATTGTAGCCTTAATTTGCATTTTTCTTATTATGAGTGAGTTTGAGCATCTTTACTCTGCTTAAGGATCATTTTTATCTCTTTTTTGTGACATGCCTACTCAAGTCCATTGTCCCTTTTCTGATTGCTAGTCTTTTTATTACTGATTTCTAGGAGCTCTTTATGTAGCTGAGATTATTCCCTTGGCTGTGATATAAGACAGGATGTGTGTGTGCACATTGATATTTGTCAGTTTGTCGTGTATTTTTTACTTTTACATGTAGTTTTAGACCTTGTTAAATGTAATAAACCAACAAGATGAGAGATACTGTCTGTGCTTGCTTTAGCTCTGTGTTTAAAGCTGAATGTCTTTGAGTTGGAATTATTCCCTTAGTGACTGATGATACTAAGGATGGAGGGGGCAAGGGTAGGGGGAATCCTGCAGCTGAACACCTTCCAGCTCCTGTGGACTTCTTTCTCATAGAGGGCAGCTATTTCTGACTCTTTTGTCATTTTCCTTGGACAGAGGTTCTGGTTTCTTAGTGAAATTATGATCATAACCTTTATAATGGGGATACCATTATCACTTTCCTTTGCTGTATTTGAATTTTAAGGGTCAAATTGATCTTCTGTCACTTTAAGGAACTATATATTAAGAGGGAAAACTAGTAGGACTACTCATAAAGGAAGTTCCGGTTTTAGGTGTGTGCATATTTTGCCTTTCTCAGGCATTTTTAGGGGAAGGGACTGGTCTGTCATATTTAGTTATGCATCTGGTATTGGGATTCCCATAGTAAGTGAGAGTGTAATCTGATCTGTCAGGGAACAATGACATAACCTTCATTCAACCATACTTGTTAGCCTGGGAGCAGCAGGAGTGAGGAAGGCCAGTAATTGGTGTCATTCACAGGTGGAGTTGGGGAAGACAGGGCAGGGAGGGACTCAGGATGTCCTGTGCAGCCTCTGTGAGGGATGGTGGGTGAGGCAGGTGCTCAGATACAGAGCAGGGGTTGGAGTTTGTGAATGGAATGGCAACAAGAACAGGAAGTAGCAGTGAGTGAGCTGGAGAAGCAGGAAGGCTAGGTGATGGCAAAGAATAAGAAGAACTCGTAGGCGGAGCAGCTCACAGAAATGGGATTACGGAAGAGAGTTGGGATGAGAGTCACGGTTCGTGGCTTCTTTTGGCTGTAAGAAAGGGATAATAGAAAGGAGCTCTTCTCAAAATATCTCAAAAGGGTTCCTTCCTCTCTGCCTTTAAAGCATACCCAGCAGCCTCCTTTTCATTTGCATATCCTCTAGGCTAAAGGAAGTACTTTAATCAGTACTTCTAATTGTGGAGAAGACAGAACACCCCACCGCCCACCCACACAGAGCATCTGATAATGAAGAGTCAATTTCTCCCATGGTGGGGCCAAGGCTTCTGCTTTCTCCTCTGCCCTAATCAGACTCCAGATTGTTGGGCAAAAAGTCCAGCTGTTCCCCATTGTAAAAGGAGACCCTTTCCTTTTGCGATTTCTTATTTTCTTCCTCTTTAAAAAAAAAATTTGTCTGATGAGCATGCTTTTGGCAGCCCTTCTCAGGAGGAGTTGTAAGTGTTCCGCTCCATTGTTCTGAGGGCCATGTGTGTGTGGAACTGTCCATGGGGAGGTGCCTGAATGAGGGCTTCTGCCTAACACCAGAGGCATTGTCTACATGTCACCAGGAAGCTCTTGTCCTGACTCCCCAGTGATTTTTCCCTTCTGCTGGGTGCTCTACCTGGTCTTTGTGTTCCTGGGAAAGTTAGGAAACCTGGGCAGCTCAGTCTTCCTCCAGAAAGACTTTGCATGGGCCTTTCTTTGGGGTGTGTGTGTTGGGGGGAGGACCCAAGTTCAGAGCTGCTTCTTCAAGGTAGTCTGACCTTGTAATCCAAAAGTTGTACTTGGGATTAGCATCTGTAATTATGGTCCATTCATGCAGTGCAGCAAGTATTGCTTCACTAAGAACCTAATGGGGTAAAAAGAAATAGAAGATGTGGCCTTCAAGAGCATCTGTGCACTAGGAGCACGTGAAATCCAGTGCGTAAGAAGCACCACTGTAATGAGACCGGTTCCAAATTCACCCAGCCTAAATACTTTTACACCATTGTTTGAGTTAAAACTTAGATGAAAGCCTTGAAATTGAACCCTGCATGTTGCTAATGTTGGTGGAAGGGAGGGATCATTGGTGGTGGAGGCTTTCCAGAGGATTGGGACTTGAATTTGACCTCAGAGTAGAGTAAGATTTAGGTGGGGGAATCGGTGTGTATGCAGGGGTGTTGTGCTTACAGAAGCATCTTGAGAAATGTTCCCTTCATTTCTGAAGGACATGAAAGGCATTGGTAAGGCACCTCATGGGAAATGAAATGTACTGGCAGGGTGATTCCTGATGGCGTGAATCAGTGACGTCAGCGTGCACAGGCAGGGAAGGACCTGTGGGACGGATCCTGCTCAGAGGCTTTCAGTGTGTCTCCCTAGTGTTGTCCTCTTGGGGTGGGAGCTCAGGGGCACTGTCACCTTTCCACCGAGGTTCATAACTTGGAACCAGAAACCTGCCAACTGCCTCCAGCAGTCTGTCTCTTATTTATTCCGAAAGCCTCCACCGAGTGCTGTTTGCAAGCCTGGCCAGGGCTTGCCTTGAGCTAAGCCCAGCAGGCTTTAGGAACAGCAGTGGCCACATAAAACACTTTAGAAGTGACAATTCCTCTCCCTCTGTACTGAGCTGAGGAGCGAGCAAAGGGATATGTTTGAGGCACAGAGAGTGTACCCTTTGTAGCCTGAACCTTGGTGGCCCCAAATTCTGGCTGTTTGTCCACATGGCACAACCTCCACGCCTCTGATTATTAAATAGGGGAATGGCAGCACTTTTATTTTTTTTTTTCCCTTCTAGGGGAATTGATCCCTATGACAAGCCGAACACCATCTACATCGAACGTCACGAGCCCTCTGGATACTCCACAGTGTTCCGGAGTACAGATTTCTTCCAGTCCCGGGAAAACCAGGAAGTGATCCTTGAGGAAGTGAGAGACTTTCAACTTCGGGACAAGTACATGTTTGCTACAAAAGTGGTGGTAAGTTGAGGACACCAAAGAATAAGCTGCTTTGTGAGTTCCTTTTTGAGGTTTGGCATCCTGTGACCATACAGATGAGTTTGCATAAGCAGGGATTGGATTGCATTCTTGGGGAAGCTTGGCTAAAGGGTTTTGGACATTGATGACCATGGCCAGAAGGCTTGGAAGGTACTGGAAGGTTGGAGAGTGGAGTGTAGAGCAAGTGCTCAAAGTGTCTGTAGGTTCTAGGAATGTGGTTGTCTTCTTGGTTGTAGGAGACATCCTTGACAAAGACATATGTTTCTTTGAAATCCCAATGAAAATAATAGAGAAAGGAAGGGAGGGTGGGACTTAGTGACTTTTTTCTTTTAATTCCACTGCCTGATTTCTTTTAAATTTAGACCGATTTCTTTGTGATCCTATGACATGTTAATTTACATGGCTAATAGGATGTGTAGTCATTGGCTAGTGGGAGTTAATGCTCTAAGAAAAGCTGTAATTAAGCTTCCAGCTGTCAATAAGTAGCTTAACTCTCAGCCTCTGGGAGAATCTTCCCCTTGATTTGATGTGTTGGAGCCAGATGCTGACGTGGAGGGCTTGCTCATTTCAAAGCACAGTTGATTATTTAGCGGGACTTGCTGTGCCCCTGTATGGGTCTACTCTTTATTACCCTGATGGAAAGGAAAAAAGCAGGTGCTGCTAAGAGCATGTTGGGCCACTGTTCCTGGAGGCTTCAGGCTTGCTTTCTGAGTGGTGGCCACTGCCCAAGTGACTCAGGCTCTGTGGAAGGCCCCTGGTAACTGGGAGGTTGCCTTGCTTTCTCTCACCGGGAACCTCAGCGACTGATATCAGATGTAATGTTTTCCACCAGGTTCTCATTTATTTCTATAATTGGAAACAGGCCAAGCAGAAGCAGATCAACCCTCTTGGTAGGATCCTACGGGAGAGGAGGCCCTCCCCTGCAGAGAGAGCAGGAAGGAAGGTCAGAGTGAGAAGAGCAGATGTGAGTCGGTAAAGGCAGAGACTTTCCCCATTAGATACCTTGCAAAATGTGTTTTAAAACCACTAAACTATGACAGTTATTTTTGTTATGCTGTTTGCATCAACCCATGGATATTGGATCATTCCCTTCCTGCCTTGTCCATCTTTCTCTTACACACATACACACACACACACACCACAGAATCACAGAATACAGGCATGCTTGAATTGGCTTGGGCAAGGATGGAGTGGTAGAAATACATTGGTGGAAATCAGACCCAAGCATTGGTACCTTGTGACTTTGTGTTGGGCCATCCTGAGTTCTATTGTGGTCTAAAATATTGTCTCTAATTCTCAAGTGGGCCCAGTCCTTTTCTGTTTGAGTTCCTTGGGCTTGGAGTGACCGTGCGATTTTAATGTCTCAATTCCAAGACACAGCGGCTGATTTTTCCTGAATTTGTCTCCCTTGTTGTGTGGGTCAGGTCTGAGGTGGATGGCTGTTGCCCTGTTGTTCTTAGATCTTACAGCCAAGTGTGTGTGTTACATCCCTGTGGGAGCTTTCCATATCCTCCATTCCAGTCTAACAGCTATATCTGTTTTGCAGATTTAGCTGACTTACAGAGTACCAGTGAAGAGTGTTTATTACTCCTGGCCTCTGGTCAGCTCAGGGGTCACATCTGTTTTGGTCACCACTGTCTGGCACGATACTTGGTACAAAGTATGTGTGCAGTAGAGTTGAATGAATGCCATCCCTCCCCAACTAATTTAAAAAGCATAGACTAATAGAATTTTTTTATATTTGGTGCAGGATATTATACTGTTGAAACTTTTGCAGTCAGCTGTCACCTTTCTATATGGCTTATTTATATATTAGCTGTTGGTGGCAAAGTTGTAGCTATGCCTTGGCTTCTCCCTCCTGCCAGAGGACAGGCCTCCAGATTCCAAGGTCAATGGCATAGCTGGAGGCTCTCGAGTTACCTAGGTTTTAGGAGCATCACGTAGAAACAGTTGGTTCAAATACAGGTTGCAGGGCCCAAATGCACTTTTCCCCTAAGCATTGCTTGGGTGCCTAACAATCACCAGAGTTTGAAAACTGCCCTGAGGTCTTCTATATCTAAAGCTTCACACAGTTGTCACTTGTACTGTCAACCGAACAGTTCTCAAAAGATGGATCAATGAGAGAAGAAACAACTGGCAGCGGGTGATAAAATGGTGATTTCCGCCTTTTTATTACATTAGACTACTAACCCACAAGAATAAATGAACTTTGCCGTGGTTGGTTAAACCTCCCAGTAGGAGTGTTGAAGCCTCCAAGTGTCACTTTTAATCCAGGTCTTCTTAGTTCAAAGACTGCCTGGCTTGAGGAATTCCAACTGGCTTGAATGTTAAGTGGATTAAAATCAAATTTGGAAACCCAAGGAAGGAACTAATTTTAAAACCACAGGTAGTTGGTCTGGGGTGGTTAACTATTTGTGCTTCCTTCCAGCACCACAAATGATTACAATCCTTTGTGAGTTAGTGTTTCAGTCTGTTAGGATAGATACAGAATGAGTGAGTATCCCATCCCCCATGGAGAGCACAATGAGCCCTGCAGTCTGAGGAGGAGATGCATGGTCTCTATATCTGCCATGGGGCTGATAGAAAAGATGTTCTCAAGTTTGTTCTCTCCCTCCCCCACCAAGGGGCAAACAGACCAGCTCATCGAAGAGAGCCCATGGTCGCGAATCCACGACCAATGGAAAGAACCCACCTAACCCTTACCCTAACCCAGAATTAAAGCGTCCATAAAAAGCCAGTCTTCATCTCAGCAGGGAGCCACCGGTTTCCGGGCTCTGCTGCATTGCTCCAGCTGCCTTTTCTTTTTCTAATAAATCTACCTGTGTGTGCCTTATCCATGTCTTGTGAGCTTATTCCTAAGCCCAGTGAAGACAAGAGTCCCTAGAGCAGCCCCTCTGTATCCCACAACAAATCCACGTGGGGGCAGCCACCTGGGCTCTGGACCAGGGCAGGTGCTAGGCCTTCAGAACCTCCTGGTACCCTGTTGGGCTGGCTCTGGGCTCATAGGTGCTTTGAATCTAGTGCCCTTTGGTTTTCTTACCTTTAATTTTTATTTCTGGCTTTTTGACCTGAAGTTCACTTACTGTCTTAATAGTCTACATTAAAACGATAGCTCTGTTAAAGAATGTGGTATCTCTATGGTCTATTCATTTGGTTCTTTCTGGTAGGTGACAGTAGTTGCCTGAAAGTTTGAGGTGGGTGAGGCTACTTGGTCCCCTTAGCTTCACTCCCAGAAGATGAGGCAAGCCAGGCACAGTTCTTGAAAAATGTGTATCAGTAAGCAAGGATGATCCATGGGCTGATGAAGTCTCCTGTCTTTACTTACAGGGGAGGCAGCCATTCACACCTTGCATGATGCAGACCCTATATTTTAGAGCAGACACTAACAAACAGTGGCCCTTTACCTGCTTTTGTAGATAAAGTTTATTGGAACACAGCCACTCTCTTTTTCTCATATGCTCTCTGCCTGCTTTCATTGCCACAGTGGCAGGATGGAATAACTGCATCAAGGCAGTATGCCCTACAGAGCTAACTCTGCCCTGGCTGGCCTTGAACTGTGATCCTCCTATCTTTACCTTCCAAATAGCTGGGATTATAGGCATGTGCCAGGTTTTTGTCTTTTTGTTGTTGAGTTCTTTATTTTTCTGTTTGTACTCTACCTGTGAGATAGATGATTTGTAAATATTTTTTGCCATTCAGTTGTTGCCTTTTCACTTCCTTCATGGTGTCCTTTTCAGCACAAAAGCTTTTAATTTTGATGTTCAGTTTATTTAATTTTCTTTTGCTGTTTGTGCTATTGATTTTCTTCTCCCCTCCCCTCCCCTCCCCTCCCCTTCTTTCCCCTTCCTTCTAATGCTGGGGGTGGGACTCAGGACCTCTAGAATGCCAGGTAAGCCATCTACCCCTGAGTTATATCCCTTTCCACCTTTGTATCTTTTTTTTTTTTTTTTTTTTTTGTGAGACATGGTCTCACTGTGTAGGTCAGGCTGGCTTGTCTTATAATTTTGTTGCTGTTGTTGAAAATCAGACATTTAAAGTGGTGTGACAGCTCCTCATATCAAAATACCCACTCCCTGGCTCTTTTTTTTGTTGTTGTTGCTGTTTTTTATCATTGCAATTTTTTTAGTTCAGTGAGTTTTCCTGCCCTGCTTCTGTAAAGCTGGTATCCTTTATTGTATGTAGGTACTGAAGTGTCTAATAATTAAACTTAGTGGACTGACTGGTTTAATAGAGATTTCCTTACATGCTTTGAACCAGTAAGTCTCTCCACAATTCCTGATGGTCTTGGGGTGTCTTGGGATTAAGCTCTAGTGCTCTCTGCCAAGCAAGTTAGGAAGCTGACTTCCTAGTCCTCACTTCCTGCTGGTGCAGAGCCTCAAGGTTAGCTGCAGGTGAGAGATATACTCCTTCCAGTTCTATACTGAGCGTACTCAGTAACTTACGTGCATGACATTTTCAAACAAAGCCTCGATGGATATCATCTTCCCCAGTTTTTCTTTATAAGCTTTTGTTAGCCCCAACTGCTAATGCTGCCTCAGGCTATTATGATGTTAAATATTTGCCAGTCATCACTGGTGGTGTTCCATAACCCTTGGTGGGCTATAGAGCTGTTTGTACAGCCCAGGAAGGTGATAGAAAGATAAGACTGGAGAATGTAGCTTTGGAGAATGCAGCTTCCCTGTGAATCAACAGACAAGTGAAGAAGTGATAGCCTCTAGTTGTGGAGTTTTTGGAGAGCCCAAGTCAGTAGCTGCGCTGTTGGTCTCCACAACTATTGTGGCTGAGGTTGTGTGTTTCCAAGGCTTCTGCAGAGCTGGGGAGAAGGGATTATGGCAAGTGAAAATGTCCCAAAGTTAGTTGTTCTTGCCAAGATTCAGTCACTTCTTGAATAAATGTTCCTTGGATTCAGAATTTTGAAAAAGTTGATTTTGAGAATATTTGCCAGTGTTTTTCTTGCTTTTATGGGTGAGTAGATTTAGAGTTCCTTCTGTGCCATTCCAGAACTGCTTCCAATGAATACTAACTTTGTAAATATCATTATTGTCCCTTTCCAACTGACAAAAAAGAACAGTGCTTTGGAGAGGACCTCATCCAGCCTTAGTATTACTTGAACTTGCCAGTCTCTCCATAGTTCTCTTCCCACTGCTTAATTTTTCCCCCAGAATATTTTTAAACAAAACCTAGACATCTTATTTTAGCTATGTTGTGTTTACTTATTTATGTATTTGTTAGACAGGGCCTCACTATGTTGCCCAAGCTGGTACGGAACTCCTATCTCAGCTCCTAAGTAGCTGGACTACCAGTGTGCACCACCTCATTGGGATTCTGTGTTTTTTTTACGATGTTCAGAATGAACAGTGTTAATACAGATGAGGATGCATTGATGAAAGTTTAGGATTGTTCTAGAGAAGAGTGTAGCACGGTATGCCATAGTTACAGCTCAGAAGCTCTTGTCCCTGTGCTGCTACATGCTGTGGAAAGCCTCCTGTCTTCCACAAATTTTCTCTAGCTGGACTGCTGTGAGATTTTAAGTGGAAGAGCTTCACTGCAATATCCTTTGTCCTTCACTTAATAAGAGTGTTTCATTTATTCCTATGGTTTAAAATATTTGTATTAGCATATATTACTTGTATGGGGGATTTCATTGTGACATTTCCATATATGCTTACAATGTACCTTGGTTAGGTTTACCCCCTCATTCTCCCTCATCCCCTGTCCCCTTTACTTAAAATGATTTCAACAGGTTTCATTGTTCTATTTTTATACAGATATGACCATACTTGCCCTCTTTTACTCTCTCCATTCACTGTCCCTCCTCCCACTAGCCCCAGACCCCTAACAGAACCTGTTTTACATTCCTGTCCTTCATTTTTTCGAGACAGGGTCTCACTGTGTAGCTGAGGCTGGAGTGGGACCCATGAGCCTCCTGCGTCAGCTTCTGGTGTCCTGGGATTAGAGGTGTGCCCCATTATGTCGGGCTTCCTTACTTTTTTTTTGCTGTTGACATAATCTGAAATATATATCCAATTTCAGTTACTCAAATACTTGTATTAAGTTCCTTTCAATTATCACAACTGAAAACAAAAATGAAAAGTCTTCAAAATTTTCAGACTCTGTAAGATTGACCTAGATTAACAAATTTAAATAATTCCTAGTGTTGGTGGAGGTATGTGTGCTTGGTGGATACTTAACCTGGTATAGCCTCAGGAGAGCCGTGCTATCTACCAAAAATAAAAGTTCTGATTTAGGCCTTCTTCTGAGAATGCATCCTACAAGTAGCATTGCACGATTCTGGAAAAGGTAATTAAAATATCCAAGTGTGCTTTTTTGAAGTATGCTTCTAAAAATAACCTCAATGCCTATCAATAGCTGTTAAGTGGAAAGATGTCTAAGATATATGGTTAATGCAAAAAAGGTGAATTGAAAAATGGTAAGATACGCAATGAAAAAAGTGGTCATATAACTGTATATACCATGACCTAATTTGTATGGGAAAGATTTAATTTCATTTATCAATTTGTGTTAGGCTACTGATAACAGACTAGAAATAAAAATGGGTTAGTTTTCTTTTGAGTGCTGCCTTGGGTCGGCAGGGTAAGACTGGTGTCCTGGACACCCAGGTTTCTATCTTTCTGTTCCACCATCCTAAGAAATGGCTTCCATTCTCAAGATCCTGACACAAGCCTTCAGTCCTTATTGCAGTGGGAATATGGAGAGACAGATGACCAAGTGAGCACCTCTCTCACTCACTTGGAGTGCATATTCTTTTAGCAGCCTTCTTAGAAATCCAACATACTCTGTTTGCAGCTCATTGGCTAGTACTTAGTCACATGACCACATATATCCATATGGAAATGTCACAGTGAAACCTCCTATACAATTATTATATACTAATAAAAAGGTTTTTTTTCTTTTTTTTTTTTTCATTTTCTTTTTATTATCATATGTGCATACAAGGATGGTTCATTTCCCCCTGCCCCCACCCCCTCTCTCACACTGCGCCCTGCCCTCTCTCCCCCCCTCACATACCGCAGCAGAACTATTTGCCCTTATTTCTAATTTGTTGTAGGAGAATATCAAAATGATGAAGGAACAAGGTTTGCTGTGAGATACAGATAGCTAATATGGGCATTGACTCACATGATGTTCCTGTGCGTGGTGGTTTCTTCTAGTTAATTCTTTTTGATCTAACCTTTTCCTAGTTCCTGGCCCCTTTTTCCTATTGGCCTCATTCTTTAAGGTACGCTTCAGTTCTGCGTTAAGGCACAAATTGATGGCTAGTTTTTAGGTGCTCTTGACTATCTCACCCCTCCCTTTGTTCTCTTTTATCATGTGCTCATAGTCCAATCCCTTGTTGTTTTGCCTTGATCTAAGTCCACATAAGAGGAACAATAACGATTTTTGGTTTTTTGAAAGCCAGGCTAAACTCACTCAATGAGTGCCTCCAGTTCCATCCATTAACCACGTGATAACATTCGTTCTTCTTCATGGCTGCATAATATTCCATTGTGTAATAGATACCCACATTTTCTTAATCCAATTCGCAGTGCTGGGGCACTTGGCTTTTCCATAACTTGCTATTGTCTGAAATAGTGCCCGCAATAAACAGATGTGCACGGTGCCTCTGGAGCTAACATCTTTGGTATATCCCAAGAGTGATTGCTGGATCAATGGTAAATCGTGTCCAGCTTTAAGTAGCCTCCCAAATTTTTTCCAGAGTGGTTGTACTAGCTATTACATTCCAACCAATCAGGTTAAAGGTCTTTTCCCCGCATCCTCGCAACTACCTGTTTGTTGTGGTGTTGCCTGATGATTGCCTATTCTAACAGTAGGTGGAATATTAGCGGGTTTAATTTGCATTTCCTAAAAAGGTTTTTTTTAAAACGAGATTGCAAAATAGAACCAGTGACAACTCCCTCAAGTCTTGATGTAAATTAAAGCCTTCTGACTCAAACATCCTTACAAGCCAAAACTGTGAGTAGAAAGGTGTGTGCTTAATCTCACATGTGCCATTTTGGAGGGTGTAGGCTCTGCCTTGTCTTACTCTACAACCTCCTCCCCTTCTCTCTCTCTTTAAGCATGAGCCCACCCCTCACTCCAAGTCCAGTTCCCATATACCATTGTTCTGTCTCATATATATATGTGGTATCTAGTACTATTTGCAGTAGGTCGGTATAAACCAGCCAGCACGCTCCCACTCAGGGTGACACATTGCAGAAAACATGAAATTTGGCAATTAAAAGCCCTTATTTTGTGTGTTCAGTGGGATCGGAGGGGTAGGACTTACTTCCTCTTTCATGTGTTGTGAGTGGCTATCATCACACACAATTAATTTTTTTCTCCTCTTCTTTGGCAGCATCTCCTGGGCAGTCAGCAGCCGTCTTCTGTCCAGCTGTGGGTCTCCTTTGGCCGGAAGCCCATGCGAGCAGCTCAGTTTGTCACAAGGCATCCTATTAATGTGAGTGATGTCTGCTGGAGGGTGGGGAGTCTTACTGTCTCCATGCAGAAGTTGGGGGAAGGGTGTCACGTGTCTTATCAGTTGCTGGCTAGTTTCTGTGGGGTCTGCTTTCCTTTAGTCACTTTGTGCTAGTGACTTTGTGCTAGTGAAAGGTCTCCTGGGGAAAGGTGTGTGGGGGGGTCATTATTACTAAAAAGAGGTTTTTAGGTCATTTATGGAGTTCAGGGGCTGTTCTTTCTTTGTGTTCCGTTTGCCAACAAGGGCCTGTTCCAGCTGCAGACCAGCCCTGGGCACTTGGAAGAAAGGTCACCAAAGGTATTTGGCCCCTCTTGGGGCCTTTTGGTGTCTTTCTGCCAACTTTGTCAGAGAGACATTTGGAAGTCATTGGTTTCATGTGGATAGAAAAAGTCCACAGGGCATACTTGTTTTTTGACTTTTGTATTTCTTGACTTTTGATCCAAAGGAGTATTACATCGCAGATGCCTCAGAGGACCAGGTGTTCGTGTGTGTCAGCCACAGTAACAACCGCACTAATTTGTACATCTCAGAGGCAGAGGGGCTGAAGTTCTCCCTGTCCTTGGAGAACGTGCTGTATTACAGCCCAGGAGGGGCTGGCAGTGACACCTTGGTGAGGTAAGGAGACATTGGGTTCCTCTCCTCCTTCTTAGGTCATCAAGGCCACCAGCTTCTCTGCAGCTGAGTGAACGTGTGAGCTCACCTGAGGCGCCTGCAGGGACCCTGATGCTTGGTGCATGGGCCCAGGGTAGGCACTTGGCCTGGCTGCGGTCCAGGTTTGAAGACTAGAAAAGAGTCCTGGGTGATTCTTATGTGCAGCCAATGCTGAGACCAGCTGTTCTAAGTGACATTTAGGGTCATAGCTGCTATGTTAACCATTCCCTCAGGCTACCTCAGTTATCTAGTTTTGTGGTCTCTGAGCCAGTGAGAAAGAGCACTTGGAAGACACTGTCATGTCCGGGAGAACTGGCATGTGTGACCATGGGCCTTGCCTTCAAGTGGCTCCGGTTAATTGTCATCATTATTCTTTCTTAGCAGTAAATGATGGAAAAATGATGCACTGGCATCACTGGTCTGTAAATGAGTGTGTAGGGCTGATTTGCAGTCCTATCCCTGGATGTTCTGAGCACCACACCAAGCAATGACCTGAGGAGGACTGGGGGTTTGAGAGAGATGAGTAGGTTCTTAAGACCTTTCAGTGCCTAAATCCATTTATTCTAGACTTTTGGGTAAGTGTGAGAGTGCCAGGGTTCACTCTGCTCTTGGAAAGCACTGCCTTGTGGGGTGAGGTCTACCCTGGGTACGCACTTTGGGAACATGCCTCAGCTCCCTGGCCTCTCCTTGTGCCGGCCGCCAGTCATTCCATCACCCATTCAAGCTCCACAGAGCATGATTCCAGTTGGGGGCAGACAGAATGGAAATGTGTGATCTGCTTGGAAGAAAACTAAAGGAAGATAAGGGGAAGGGGGTGTGAGAGGGTTCCTCTGCACAGGCTGTTCCAGGGCATTTGAACAGGAGCCTGAGTTACTGGGGAAGGGAGCTAGGCAGACACCTGGGAGGAGCAGAATCCTACAGGCTGAGGAGGCAGCACATAAGGTGACTGAGGAGGGATGGTGTGGGACCTTAGGAACAGCTGGGAGGCTGGGCTGCTTTGAACAGCTGAAGGTGGGGAAGAGAAGTAAGAGACAGGATCCCAGAGAGCAGGACTCAGGTGGTATATGACCTTCAGGGGCATAGAAAGAGCTATTTTTATTTCTGATAGGTAAGATGGATGTCATCCGACTTATCCTGTTAATTTTCTATTTAAAAAATTGTGAATTGCATTATATAAAATGCAGAAAATATAAATGGATACTGTTACAAATAATTTTGAGTGGACACTTCTGTACCTTTTACAGAAGTTATTCTCAGTGCTGTGGGGACATTTGACTACTTTAGGTATAAGGGTGGGGCTAGGAAGACAGACTGACTGAAAGTGTCATGGAGATCACACCAATGTGGTGGATGTTGGATGGACTCAGGGCATTGCAGGGCGATTACAGAAATGGTCGGATTCTAACTGTAGTGTGAAACTAGAGTCAGCAGACCTACTAATGGATTAGACCAAGTTTGAGAGAAGGAGGAGCCAGGGGACCACCACTGCAGCCATAGGACAGTGGCTGCATGGTGAAGCAAGGAGGTAGGGCAAGGAACAGGTGCAGGGAGGAGATGATGAGCTCAGTTTTAGATTTACCGGGTTAGAGATGCCTGTTGGTATTCAGGTGCTGAGCTTCCTCCCTGTTCTCCAATGGTGCTTTTCTACCTTCTGTTTCTTCTCTTTGGAGGTGCCGGCATCCTTCATTCCCTGCTCTTCTCCCCTTAACACAGACTCATTATTTGGTGGCAGCTCCTGGCTGGTTCTTGTGTGTTTTTATTTATTAAAAAATAATTTATTGAAGTGACATTCACTTGACATAAATGTAACCTGTTTTTTTTGGGGGGGGATGCAGGGTGGCAGTACTGGGGTTTGAACTCAGGGTTTCCTGCTTGCCAGACAGGCACTTTACCATTTGAGCCACACTTCTAGTGCCTTTTGTGTGGTTATTTTTGAGACAGAATCTTGCTTTTTGCCTAGGCCAGCCTGGGCAGATCTTCCTATTTTATGTTTCCTGCAGTAGCTGGGATGACAGGAGTATATGATAATACCCAGAGTTTGGTTGAGATGGGATCTTGTGATCTTAGCTTTCTAAGTAGCTAGGATTACAACCATGAGTCACTGATGCCTGCCTAAGCTTAACCTTTTTAAAGTGAACAGTTCGGTGGTTTTTAACATACTCACAGTGTGTGCAGCCACCACCTTTATGTTGTTTCAAAATGCTTTCATTCCTGCAAGAGAAAACCCTGTCTCCCTTAGTGGTTTCTTTTCTTTGTCCTCCCCGTTCAGATTCTGGCAGCCTTCAATCTAATTTCTGTCTGTGGATTTACCTTTTCTGGACATTTTGTATAGGTGGAACCGTACAATACTATGTGACCTCTGTGCCTAGCTTATGTCATTTACCATAATGTTTTCAAGATTCATCCGTGTGTAGCATCTATCACCACCTCATTCATTTTTCTGGGTGAATAATATTCTCTACCTTTTAAATAATTAAAAATCATGAATCATTATCTTTCAGGTCTTTCACTGACTCTTTGATTATTTTCCTTGCTTGGAGTGCCTCTGGCTATGGAGTGGATAAGTCATAGCTTGCCAACAGTCTCTTCGTCTTTCTCATTCGTCAGGTAGATCTGCAGATGAATTTCTCGCGGTATGGCAGAGTAAGAACCAGAGCTAGAGGGAAGAACTCCCCAGGAAGTAGTGACCTCAATGATGTGACCAGAGGCACACTCCACACATGCAGACAGCCCTTTCTTTATGTGTGACACAGTTTCTTCCTGCCCTGCCTGAGCGTGCAGTGCAGTTCACAACTGATAATAGATTTACGTCAGGAGGCATACACTAACTCCTTCTTGTTCCCCTCAGATTTTATCTCAGGACCACAGGGGTTCATATGTGCTCAGCTAGTGACCCCTTATCATCTCGTCTCAATCTTAGCTAGATGAAATGGGATAAGGGTGGATTAGCAGATGATATGGGCAGGCTGGTTTTCAATGAACTTTGATGGTATTCAAAATGATCTGTTCTCTGAACTAAATAGAAGAGTGTGGATGCAGAGGAACTGGTTCTAATTTCCTTAGGAAAGTGAAGAAGGAGCTCTTACTAGGGGATTACTGTGGCATTCTGGGGATGGACTGTGTAAGAATCTCATGAAAAGCTATAGCTGCAGCCAGGACTCTATGGCGGAACTAATGTGCTGATGACATTGTCAGGCCCATGGGGGCATCTCAAGAAGGAGCACTGGTCCTGTTAGTGGAAATGACTGCCAGTGCATGGATTTTGCACTGAGTATAGTTGAAGGCATCCTGGTGAGATGCCTGACAGGTCTCTACCCAGGGCACTCAAGGAAGAAGGGGGGAAGTGCTCTGCTATGGGCTGGTGAAGGTGATAAGATGAAAGAAAGTGGACTTTTAGAGAGATTGAGAGAGAGTACTAAGGGTGAGGTCAGTCACTCCAGGGCAGGTCAAGGGGGTGGGGTTGGGGAAAGAAAGGAAGAGTTGAAACTAAAACAGAGAGGTGAGGTACAAGATGACAGACTTCTGCTTGGAAATAAGACTAGGGGAAAGAAACAGGGCTTGTCTGACAGAAATTCAGAGGTTCCAGATATGGGATGGGAACCTCACCATGGCAGATTTCATGACAATAGAGTCAAAGGCCAGAGGGCTAAAGTAAGTAGAGAGCAGGAGGGTGATGGATCATTGACTGATTGCTAGAGAAGAACCTGAAAAATAGCTAAAAGACACCCAAGAATTAGTATGCCAGGGAGCTGGGTCCCAACTTGGCATTTCATTTAGGATTTTGCTGTCTATCATTTCAAAGTGGCTTTGTGGGTGCTGCTTATTTCCTTTTCATGCCTCAGAGGTTGTAGTCTATGTCTTTCTCTGTCAGAGATGGCAGAGCAGTCATCCAGCTCAGGAGATCTGAATGGCAGATGATGAAAAAAACCAGTTTTCTGTTTCATTGTGTAGCCCAGTGGCTCAGACCCCCTGAAATAAAGGTTACAGTTCTAATTTTAAGAGCCACATGTGAACTAGAGCTCTGTTTGTAGTGATTGTACCATTTTAGTGCAAAACTCTTCCATCGGAATCATAGTATCTTAGCATAGAGTGAAAGCCTGGGAGAGACTTATTCTCTGCTTTGCTCTTAACAAGTATGGCTTCAGGCCTTGTAGAACAACACTTGCAGTGTGCACTGCTTTCTTAGGGAGCAGTCAACAGGTGCTGCTGAGCTTCCTGGCAAAAACTGAGGGCATCTGTAGGTCAGGGTGTTGAATAACTGGGCTGTAGGTACCCGGACAGGACTGTGTATCCCTTAGCTGTATTTCTAGAGATTGGGGTCAGGCTTAAACCTCAGCATTGTAACTAGTATCCTGCAAGCCTTGCTCAGTGTTTCTTGCGTGTCAAGGCTTATTGGAGGATTTGGGTCAATTTCAACAAGTGAAGAAATAGATGTAACTTTTATGTCAACCTTTTAAATGATATCTTCTTCATTCTAAAACTTCTAGTCATAGTTGTTTGAATAAGCATGCTGACCCTTAAAAACAATCACTTTTTTTTTTTTAAAAAAGATCAGGTTATCCATAAAAAGGAATGAAATGTGGTACATGCTACATGGGTGAATCTTGACAATATTATGCTAAGTGAAGGTAACCACATACAAAAGGCCACTACACAATTCCATTTATATAAAAAAATATCTGGACTAGGCAAATCCATGGAGACAGAAAGCAGATGAGTAGTTGTCAGGGCCTGGGAAGGGAGGGGGAACTAGACAGTGACTGCCAGTGACCAGGATGTTCTGGAACTAGATATTCATCGTGGCTGCACAGCATTCTGAATGTACATAGTGCCCCTGAATTGTACTCTTAGAAATGGTTACATTTTGTGTTCTGTACAGTAAAACTACCAAGCAAATGTCAGTGCAGGTTTGTAGCTGTTATTTTCTTTCTCTGCAGGTATTTTGCAAATGAACCATTTGCTGACTTTCATCGTGTGGAGGGGCTTCAAGGCGTCTATATCGCTACTCTGATCAATGGCTCCATGAGTGAGGAGAACATGAGATCAGTCATCACCTTTGACAAAGGAGGAACCTGGGAATTTCTGCAGGCTCCAGCCTTCACAGGATATGGAGAGAAAATCACTTGTGAGGTACAGATGTGATCATCTTATTTGGCTTTTTAATACAAGGAAAAGAGCTCTGATCTGTAGGAATGTACCACATCTAGTGTTTCCTGGAAAGTGCAGGTTCACATTCTATCACATTAACATCACACGAAACAAACTTTCATCTGTTATTTCTACTCTTGCAGACTCTGCAGCAAAGCATGGTGGGGTGGCATAGTGAATTCACAGGAGTGCCATGGGATATTAATTGTTTTTTTTTCTTGGTGCTGGGGTTTGAACTCAAGGCCTCACACATGCTAACAAGTGTGTGTCCTACCACTGACCTTTACCCCCTGCCCAGTATTTAAACCATTTTTATTTTGAGATAAGGTCTTGAAATGTAGCCCAGGGCACCTTGAATGTTTTGTTCTACTTCAGCTTCCTGAATTACAGGAGCGAGCCACCATGACCAGCTTTATTTTAAGTTTTTGAGGGAGATATTACATTAATTACATGAGTAACTAGCTTGACTTAGTCCACTGCTTCAACGTAGGTCATGACATAGTTCTTCTGATGATATCATATCTCTCTTTGGGAAGCCGAATTTTTAGGAGTCTATGGATTGTGTGTCCTGCCCTTATGTGACACCCTACATTGTGTTTTACCCAAGAGATTTAGGGCATAGGAAGAAAGAACTTAGAAAAAAAATTTTTTTTAAAAGTAGCCTTCATTTTTGGCAAAATGTAATATTTTAGTATCTAGTCTTTCAGATTTTTGAATTTTTGAGCTCTCCTGCATTCTTTATCTATGACCTTTGGAAAAATTCTTTTGGAGACTCTTGCTCTAGAATTCTTGATTTTTCTTCCTGTTTTGGTAGCAGGTCTTGATTTACCACATGAACTCTAATTTTGGAAAGAGGCAGGCTATACATAGATACAGACAAATTCCTAGACACTTTCCCTTTCTGCAGTAGTGTCTTAGGACTTCAGCAGCTTGACCCCATCCTCATGTGGATAGGGCCCAGATGGTTTTGAGCATGCAGTGGGGGGCAGAGTTTAGTTAAAGAAGATTAGGAAATTCAGCCTTTTATTTCCCTGACTGATCAGTGTATGAGCTGTGGGACAGTTTTTCAGCTTTAGTTTGTACTTCTGAGTTTAAGTTGTGTGTTAGCCAGCTTTCCATCACTGTGACAAAATACCTGAGAAAACCACCATATAAGAAGGAAGGGTTGATTTTTTTTGGCTCATGGTTTCAGTAGTTTCAGCTCCTGGTTGCTTGGCTGTGTTGCTTCGGGCCCATGGCAAGGCTGAACATCACAGGAGCACATGGTAGAGCAGATTTGCTCTGATCACAGCAGCTAAGAAGTAAAAAAAAAAGAGGAAGGGGCTGGGATCCCAATATTCCCTTAAAGGGCACGCCCCTAGTGCCATAACTTCCTTCCACTAGGTCCCACCTTCTAAAGGTTCCACCACCTTGTAGTAGTGCCACAGACTGGTGACCAAGGTTCTAGAAGATGGCCTTTGGGGGACATTTCAGATCCAACCTATAATAGGTGGTCAAAAATATATATAGGAATGGGTAAACTCTGATTGAGGATACAGAAATAGTTCCATGAATAGATTTCCTTTCAGGTAAATAAATACGAGTCACAAAAGGGCTAGTGGGCAAGTAGCTATCTTTTTGAGACCCGGCCTAATTTGCTCCTGTTTTCATTGGCCAAACTTGAAAGCTACCAAGATAGATATTTGTTAGAATTTTTTTTTTTTGTGACAAAATAAGTAGATGGAGTAAACCTTGTCATAGTTTAACAGGCAGAACTGCCCTGTTAGAACAGTGAACAAACCTGGATAACCTTGAGCAATTGATTTCTGGCCAGGAGAATCAGGCTTGATCGTATAGCAAAAGCACTGTCCTCATGGTTTACAGAACTATGAGAGTCTGAACATAAGGGATGGAGGCCGGCTTATATGACTTTAACCCTTACCCTGTATGCCTGCATCTTTGTACAAATGTAGAACATTCTTTTTAAAATGTAATGTGAATCCTTTGGTATTCACTTCTCATATGTTGTACATCTGGGAGCTTATCAGTGAGAGTTTATGACTTCTGATTCTTGCTTTTTCTTTGGATAGGATTGCTGGAATCATATTAGAAACACATCTCCACTGAATTAGAAAATAAATATCACAGCATCATCTCATTTCCCTTTAGCTTTGAGTCACCTGAGACGATCTCTGGGTGTTAGAGGGTGAAAGGTGCCTTTCCTATCTCCTTGAGTTAACATTGATGTACAGTTATTATTCCCTGAGAGTCTCAGGACTTTTTAAGGTATTTTTCTCTTTTCTGCCACAATAGATAATTGTGTAGGTTCAGATAATCTGCTCCATCTGGAAGACAGAAGATGTGGGGTGGAGACAGTGGGGCTGTAAGTCTGGTTTTCTCTGGCCCAGGTTTCCTGCCTCTGGGTCTAGCTGGGGGGTCCCCAGGCTTCCAGGTTCGAGAGAGACCTAGGCATGTGTCACACACAGACTCTGCCTGGAACTCTCCTTCTGTAGCTTTCCCAGGGCTGTTCGCTGCACCTGGCCCAGCGCCTCAGTCAGCTGCTCAACCTCCAGCTCCGGAGGATGCCCATTTTGTCCAAGGAGTCAGCCCCTGGCCTCATCGTTGCCACTGGTAAGTGCGCTTTGCCTGTTCTCCCAGAGACCTTGGTGGGCTGGCCGTGTGCAGTCCAACACGGGATCACCCTCATCCCCAGCAGCTGCTGCTCTTCATGAGCTTAAGACACTCGAGGTTGCTCGCTGCTACTCAGAATGTCTGGTTGGATAACATGATTCTCTGCGTAGTCTCGACATGAAAACTAATTCTTCCTCTTGCATTTTAGGTTCAGTGGGAAAGAACTTGGCCAGCAAGACCAATGTGTACATCTCTAGCAGTGCTGGAGCTCGGTGGCGAGAGGTCAGCCCCCTCTCTGTCCAGGTTCTTGTCTGTGTGAGAATGTGGACTGTGCCTGGACATTTTAGGGACACGCATAATCTCTTGATAGAGTCATATAAGGCCCCATATGACTATAAAGTAAAGAGAGGGACCCAAGCCCACCCATGAGAGCCAACTGTACTGATGTGTGTTCACACCTTATAATGGTTTTTCCAAAATATTACTTTAAATAAAAAGCAGACTTTTTTTTTTTTAAAAAACAGCTCTCTGATTTTGACTGAACTTTCCTTGAGTATGCATTCCAGAAGGGCAACAGCAGTTGTCTGTTTTGTTTGCTTCTTTATCTTTGAGACCTAACAGTGACTGTAGTAAGCATTTGCTGAATGTCTGAGTGAATTACAATATAGTTGTGATGGCATTGGGTCTGAAACTGATCACTTTCCCTAGTTTTTTATTTTTTTGGCTGTAGTGGGGGTTGAACCCAGAGACTCATGCTAGCTAGTCAGGTGCTCTACCACCTGAGCCACACCCTCATCCCTTTTTTCTTTAGTTGTTTTTCAGGTAGGAATTTATGCTCAAGCCAGCCTGAACCTCCATCCTTCTATTTGTGCTTCCCTGATAATTGAGATGACAGGTGTGCACCACAGTGCCAAGCCATTGGTTGAGATGGGGTCTTCTGAAACTTTATCCACCCAATCTCCATCTTCTGAGTAGCTAGCATTACAGGCTCTATTCATCATGCCAGGCCTCTTTGCCTATTTTTTCTGTGTAGTATTGAAACTATGGTAATGCTCTATGGGCACTTTGCTCTCCTTTTGTACTATGTCAGGAGACTGTTGCTGCCATAAGGTTATATAACCCATTTGAATCCTTCAGCTGACTGCCAGTTCTGAAGGTGCAGCTAATTCTGCAGCCCTGAGATGCTCATTTGTCCTCACCCTAGAGAATTCCCTAACTTGGAAAAAAGTGTTTCTCACCAGCCTCCTGTGACTTACAGAGCCAAAGGAAGTGCATCTGGCCTCATTCTATATGGGCTGTTGTCAGTGGTGATCCTGAGGATGCTGGGGACCATCAGAGTAGAACTCAGCACATTACTGAACAGGAGTTTATTAAGTACTGAGTCAGGACCAATGTGGTTCTCAGAAGAGCCAGCAGACATAGCTCCCATTGTAGTGTTTCAGATTGGGAATGCAGTGACTTAAATGATTTTTAAATAATAAAATATAAAAATGTAAAAAAATCATATGCACAGTGATTTAAATCCGTGGTATGTAAAGCAGTAATTGATGATACCTGTATGTTTGGCTCTTGGCAGTTTGTAGAGATGATCTTATCCCTTTTCTCATGTGTGGCCAGGCTTACCATCTGTTTAAACAAGAGATATGGGACCCAGACACTGTGCGTGTGTGTGTGTGTGTGTGTGTGTGTGTGTGTGTGTGTGTGTGTGTGTGT